GGGTGTTTATAGTAAATATTACATACATTTTTATACCTTTTGATGCCACTAGATGACAAAAAAACTACATTTTTTTACAAGCATTTATAAGAAAATCGAAAAGGTGGCTACGAAATAATTATTCAATCAGCAAAGTTTCAATTCCTCTAATGCAGCTGCCGTCCGCTTCTGCCGCCTGCGCGCATTCAATTTTTTTACGATGACGTAGTTGTAGCCAAAACTAGCGCAGTTCCGCTTAAAACTAGTCTGTTACAGCTTGTTGTTGTCCGACAACTTAGAAATTAAATATACTCGTCTGCTTGTAAACACGACCTAGTTGTTCACCAAGAGACCTTGACCCATTTCGTAGGAACAAAAAACTTTTGAATGAAATATTTATTGACATTTTGAAATTTTAGAAATTAACGATTCAATTCGTTAGGTGAGTGCGTGTAATTAATATTCCATCATTGGGAGATTCGTCTGGTGTCTTTATTTTTTGGTTTCATTTGACAATTCAAATTTGAAAAATGAAAGGTGAGTTTGGGGAAATCCATGTTGACTAGCTAGCGGGTGATATATGATGCTGAAACCTTTTTAAAATTAGCAAAAAATATAAAATTTAAAATGAGAAATTGATTTTATGTAAGTAACTGTATAAAATTGTGTAAATATATAAAATATTAAGAAAGACAACAAAATGTTAACAGTTCTGCTATAATAATTAAATGCCATTATATATATCAGGAAAACTTTTATTCTAAATTAGACTAAGGCGTAAATGTGTATTAGCATGGTTGAAATATAGATTAAATAAATAATATTTAATATTTATATCCCCACCTTCCTCTGGATTACACTAGTATATTAATGAATAAAAGTTCACTTTAAAATTTCAAACAATAAAAACAAACTAGTTGACGTCAAGTCAAGACTGGGTCAATATACTTATTTGAAATTCGTTTTGGTTAATTATAATCCGCCTCTAAACAATCAATTCACTATGCTAATTTACACATTCTCAGCAGACACCGAGCATAACTGAAAACATACTTATATGCTGCTTTTTTCGTTTTATGCTTGTTTATCGTAATCTTCTTCAGTTGTTCTTTTTTTCCTTTTTGCTTTATTAGCATCCATAATAGATTTATCATTTTCTAAGATTGGGTTTTTTGTCGGCTTCTTAACATTTGTCAACATTCTTAACTTAAATTTGTTGCTTAATTTATGATTAGTCGCATAAATAAGGAGATAATAAATTTTGACGATGGTGTAGCTTAAACGGATTTTATTTTCATGCCAAACTTCTGTTTTGAACATTTTCGAAAGTGGTGACTCATGTGTCAGCGATCTTTTCCTTTTGATAATTTTTCCTTAATTTATTTTATATAATAATTTTCTTTTCAAATATTTCTTTATTGTTATCTGATTTGAAAAGATATTTTATTAATTTCTTTTATTTTTTTTTATTAACTTAAACTATTTTATTTTATTTTATTTTATTTTATTTTATTTTATTTTATTTTATTTTATTTTATTTTATTTTATTTTATTTTATTTAATACAATTTAACTTTATTTTAATTTATGTTATTTTATTTTATATTATGTTATTTTATTTTATTTTATTTTTTTTTTATTTTTTTTTGTTTAATTTATTTTTTTTTTATTTTATTTTACTTCATTTTATTTTATTTTATTTTATTTTATTTTTGTACTTTATTTTCTTGGCAGCAAATATCTTTTGAATCCTTGATACAGCACATAGCCTCAGACATTTATTCAAAGCTATTATAATACAAATAAAAACTTTAAAGCATAAATTGTGTATTTGTATTTTGTATTTTGCGTACGAAGATGTCTCTAACGAAGGAGAAGAAAATGTTATCGCCAATTAACGATATTTTGTTTTGATTGTGACAGCTGGCATTTAAAACTACTAACTATAGCTTTAAATAAAATATTTATAATAAAGATCATTGCCGCAACAACAACAAAAACGGTCGAACATACCACGACCCACTAGTGACGCTATACGCCAATGAAACCGGAATTTTTATACTCTCATTTGAATAATTCACAAGCAAATTTTTGGCCTAATGCTGGGAATTCCGTAACAACAACAAAGCAATATACACATAAAAAGATAACAACAAATTTAAATTGTTACAAAAATATTAGCACAACAACAATTTAAACAAAAATAAAACTACTTTGCCACAACAATGAAAATAGCAAGCAGACGTCGAACGGCTTTTCAAGTTTTTTTTTTCGCCACCACTGTTTGGGTGGAAGTATTGCCACTAGGGAATAATTGAAATGTAATTTTCTTTACATTTTGTATTAATTAATTAATATCTTTTATTGTGAAAAATGTTTGGAAAATTAAAAGAAATTATCTTAAGGTTTAATAAAATTAAGCAAATTTTACTCTTTATGAATACCTATTACAAATTTTTCCATAACTCTAGAGACGCAGGCAGTTTTAATGATTTTCAACAAAATAAAAAATTGTGACATCGATTCTAGATTCTTTGTTTTTTCCAAAAAGAACTCTTAAAGCTAGTGTTTATAATTGATATTTTAAATCGCTTTTAGAGTTAAAAAATGAAAAAAATATTTAAAATTATTTTTTGTCTCAACAGAGATTAATCAAATATGGGGATTACTTTTTATCACAGCTTTACTCATTGTTTATTGAATCCAAAGGCTTCTGCGCCGTGAAAGATCACGATGTACTACTTTTGGCGCAAATGTCTAAATTTTTTAAACTTTTGTATTAGTATTTGGCAACTCTGACGATTTCTTCTTCGTCGTTTGAAAGTTATCTACTCCTACACCTACAAAATGGCCTCAATAAGTGAGTATGTATATGTGTAAATAAGACATGGTGAAAACACTATCTCGAGCAATCAGATCTTCACTGAATTAAGCAACAGCGACAATATTGCTCACATACATTTTTATAAATATTTTTAAATTCTATGTATCTACATATCGGATCGAAATTATATGATTTTTTATAAATGGAAAATTACTGAAATTATTTAATAAAATTAATTTAGTCTATTGCTTATTTCTCAAATCCATGTATTTACATTAAAGCTTTTATTAAAGCTTTTAAGCTATTTTCTGCCTTGATGTAGCATATTTTTACAGCTTTTAGTTAGTATTAGTATGTAGTAAATACAAAACTACGATTTTTATTAACACTTACATATTCATATTTACAATTTTATTATTATTTATCAAGGACTCACAGCCAAAAAATAATAGTAAATATATTTATTATTTAAAAAAATTTTTTACAAATTTTTAGATTATTATACAATGCCATTAACTTTCTAAAATCATTAAAACATAATTATTTTTCATATATTCCAATATTGTTTTTTAACTTATGTAATATTTTTCAAAGCGATTTTTGAATATTATTTTTGAAATATATGCCTTCATTACTCTCCACAAGAATGACTGCATTTATTGCCTATAGGAAATTTTTTTTTTTAATTATGTACTAAACAAATTTTTAAATTCAAATTCAATGAGTTGAAAATTTAAATCAATTATCCGCCTTTATGCGCTCTCTCACTTTGTTGCAAAAACCGGCAGCTTTGTTCCAATTTCTATGAACCGAATATCTATCGGGCTTAATGATTGAACTGAATGAAGTTCGTCGTGTCGTTTCCGCATACGCATTTTGGTGTAAAGTTACTAAATTGCGTACATCGTGCGTTGCCCAGTAGGAAATTGATTGCTCTAATTTTTAATTACTTTTTTTAATTACTTGAATGACTATTTAACTACGAATATTTTGAATTTCATTGAATTTGCTTACATTATACTAACTAACGGTAATTAATTAAGGATTTCGAAATAACATCGTTTCATTCAGAATTTTAACAAATTTAAAGGATGCAAATTTGTTTCCGAAAATTCCATACATTCTACAAACTGAGGTAAGCAGAAAATCCACAATCATTTCAAAAGTTTCCAAGAACTAATGATGGTGCAGTAAAAAGAAATCCATTATTTTTGCGTGAATTTGAAGGCTTTAATTTTTACTTTTTGTATACAGTCTGATTCAAATGGTTTTAAACGATTTTTGGGGCGATCTTCAGCTCTTTGGTAAACGAACGGGTAAACCGTAAATCAAGTCTACTATCGCCAAGTACTCGAAAGATTGCGAAAACGAGTCAACAGGATGCGACCGGAAATCGCGCGTAACTGGATCCTTCATCATGTCAACGCGCCGTACCACACCGCCCGCATCGTGTCCCAGTATTTGGCCTCTAAAGGGATCGCCGTGTTGCAACAACCGCCTTATTCGCCCGATATGACACCCTGTGAACTTTTTTGTGCCCTAGAACAAAATCGGTGGTCATAGGAAACCATATTGAGTCGATTGAGGACATCCAACAGACGTATTTTTAGTTAACTAATGATAATCTCTCTGGGTAGTCATCTAGTTTAGTGATCCAGATTATTAGCTAAAATTACTGTTTGTAAGACCGAAAAGACTTTAAAAGAGCTCAAACAAAAGACAGGAGAGAAAATATCATACATTTTTTTTGGTTACATTTGAGCCTTTAGTAAGAAGGAGCACCATTTCCTTCTGGGTCATTTACCGATAGGTATTTTTGTCACAAGATGAGTTTAACTAATCAAAGATTACCACTTACATACATACATACATATTTGCTTTGTAAACTTTCTATGAAAAAATTTTAATCACCATCTTTAAACAAAGCGACTTTGGATATTTTTATTATATTATTAAAATATTTTTAAATTTTACTAGGCAACTTAGTGCCACCAACTGCGTCACACATAGCTTTATCTGATACAAATCGAATGACAATAACAAAACCAATAGCTCTGACGTCGACTTCAACGACGGTGGTATGTCTGCATGCAGCAGCGCTAATGGTGGAATTTGCTGTTATCATCGGCGGTTACAGTACAGAAGCAAAATGGTATAAAGATCGCGACGCGAACGAAACGAAATCATAATCAACTCAACACTCTATCAAAACTAAACTTACTGCTGCAAGCCTGAAGATGCGTACATTTGTGGTAGGTGGATACGAAAAGACAAAAAAAAAATACTACAAAGGAAACGTGGATATACAAATAATATACATATATAACAACAACAACTTAGTGTATTAGTATGTGACAAAGAGTAACAAAAGAACATTATCACATTTCATTTACAGGTTTTGTGCTTCGTTGCCGTCGCTTCGGCTCAATACAGCTACCCCCAACAGGGTGCCGTCGATTTGTCCGGCCCCAGCGGTGCCGCTCAACTCTCCCAACCCATTCAGCCCGTGAATGAGTACAACAAGGAGTTCTACAGCTACTCTGCACCTGAACATGAATTCGACGATGCCGGTGATGCTGGCCAATTAGCCAACTCGCTGAAGAAGAACTTGCGTGTTGTCTTCATTAAGGGACCTGAAAACACTGGACTCGAAAATGCCGCCCTCCAATTGGCCAAATCTGCTGGTGATGAACGTACTGCCATCTATGTGCTCAGCAAACAAGCTGATATCGGTGACTTGGCCAACAGATTGAACTCACTGCCAAGCAACACCAACAAACCCGAGGTACACTTCGTCAAATACAGGACTCCATCTGATGCTGAGAACGCTCAACGTGCCATCCAGTCGCAATACGACTCTTTGCCCGGTCCATCCACCAGCAACAATGGCGGTGCTGCACCAGTCTTGAACTTCGCCTCCCAAGCACCAGTTGCTCCAGCAGCCCCAGCGGCACCATCCAACTCGTACATTCCACCACAAGCGTCGTATTTGCCACCCGGCAGAAGAATCTAAGCTTTGATTTGTTGAATTGATTGTTGATTAATTTTAATGAATTATTTTCCTCTTTAGTTAAATTTTTAGAAATTTAAGACAATACACCACATAACAGCACTAGTAAAACACAGTTACCTGTAAACGTTTGAAGAAAAAATATAGAAACTGATTTAACGAAAGTTTAAAAAAATAAATAATTTTTCATTATTTTAGTCTAGTATCAAAGAGACAACCCTGTTCTCTTCAATAAAACACAAGCCGAACGAGATATCGACATTATATTCAAAGAGTAATAGAAATAATTCCAGGCCGCACTTTATATATGTCCTATGCCTGGCTTAGTGTGTGCCCTCTCTTTTTAAGGAATACACATCACATGATCCGCTCTTATACCATTTTGTCCAGGGATCGTCTGGATTTGTGAAAATTTGTAGTTCCATTTCACCTTGGCGCCGCTTTTTTATGTCCAAAATTATTGACAAACAACTTGCAAGTAGTAAAAGGCATTTCAATACTTCTATTTACGAAAAGAAGCTGTTCTGTTCAGCCTGTTCTGTTTTGGTTAGAACCGTAAGCGATCCAAGTGCCGTTATTGCTGCCTAATTGTCGCTAAAAATGAAATATCCTTTGCTTTCCTATCAAATAATAACGGACATCTCCGCTTGAAAGATGCAGCAAAGGTCAGGTAGCATGAAAGAGCGGCTCCTATGAGAGTTTCTTTAAAATAGATAACTGCCGACTCTCCTCAAGCTTTGATGCGTTCTTGTATATTTCCAAACTGCCACCCGGAATGTGGTATTTTTCCTTCCATTCTTGTCTGCTGGACTTTCTTGGTCTGAAGTAGTTTTCAGTGATTGTAATTGAACCGCATCGATATGTATAGCCAGGTACGAAATCGCATGTATCCATAATTCCAAATTTACCAATAGCTGTATGACTGAGTAATCGTCGTACTTTTGCTCCCGTTATTTCGCTCAAGTCTCTCTAGTTTGTTATCCACAGAACTTACTCCAGCAAGGGAAGTGGAAACATTGCTATCTACACCATCTTAAATACACATCTTATGATTAGCTTATACGTGGACAGCGCTGGTCTATTGTTCTCCATGCTGAGAATAGTAGAGGCGAAGTGTCCTTGCTTAGAAGTTCTTCCGTCATTTCATTACCCGCTATGTGAGAGAACTGCTTTATATGAAATTGGTTCTTTGCAACCGTGTGCGTCTTGATGTTTTTCTAGGAAATGGAGGTACCTACAGTTTATGCTAAGCCGCCTCCGGACGACTAATGGTTTTTTATGAAAAACTTCACATTTCATGTCAGAAATAAACTCGGATGAGTTGACATTCCCTGCCAAGAAGCAGAGAACTGCTTTACCATTGTGACTTTACTGCTTTTAGTGTTACGGATTCCAGGATACAAAAATGATTTGCTAATGGCAAGCTTCATTGAGTGTACTCCGCCATTGAGCCTGTTATGTTTCTTTAACCCGTCCGTATAAAAATCAATAGAGGTGCAATTACTGGTACTATACTATCAGGTCCTCTCTGGACGAAACCCTGTCAAAATCTTAGCATAACAGTGGTTTCATTTCCATTCAGCCCCTATTTTTCAGTATTCCCATAACAAAAGCCACAGTATGCTACCTCATAATATCAATATATAAGAGTGGACCTAACAAAGAACAATCTCTAAAAGTCATTTATCATTCTCGTCCTGTTGTAGAGTGCAGAATTGTGGAACAAAACGACATTTGTGGAGCTGGCGCTAAAAATTTTGAAGAAAAAGGTTTGCGTACGACTTAAGTACTTTTGAGTATTGGCACAGCGAATACCGCAGATGATGAGCTGTTCGAGGTATACCATGACATTGGCATAGTTTTGCAAATAAAGAAACAGCAGATCCGCTGGCAAGATCATACATATCGTCCGAATGGATGAGAATATTCCGACTTGAAAGCGATATCCAATGGTGGCAGAAGGGGTGGAGTAAGGTGCTCTTACCATTTGAAATATTAGGTAGAGGAGGAATTCGAATTACTTGGTGTTTGAACTGACGCCAAATAGAAAAAAAAGAAACTGGTTCAATGTTATTAAAAAGAAGAAAAAGTAATCAGCCGTACTAAAAGAAGGTAAGGAGATCGCCGTTTGGTGAAACGTTTACTTTGAACAGGTGGGGTTTTTGAAAAGCAGTCCAAAAGTTTAAAAATTGATTGGACATGATTTATTGAGGATAGAATTTCAAACCAATATGATTAATCAAAAACATTTTTCAAGTAACCGATCCTAAAAAATTCATCACCAGACAAGGAAAAAATCAGTGCACTTTATTTAGTGAAATGACAAACGGCTACGTTGAGCAATGCGCCGATAAAGAAAATAATTCGTAAATTCATAGGGTTTTCCAATAAGAGTGATATGATTTCTTTAAAAATAAAAACACACTAATTTTTAAGGAAATTCAAATATTTTTTTTTTAATGTGAAGTTCAATCGATACAATTAAGTTCTAAATTCAACATCATTAAAATGTCCTCCACGACTTCTGCTGTAGGTACAAATTTTGAGCACTTCTTCCACTAAATCAAGTCGTATGTCCTGAATATAACGTTGCATATTGACTTTAAAATCTTGAGAAGAGTCTGGTTTATGGCTGGAGACCAGTGACTTCAAATAACCACACATAAAGTAAGAAGTAATGGTGTAGAATCACAACTGCTTGGAGGCCATTCAATAGCGAGTTTCTTGAAATAATCGAATCTCCAAACCTTTTTTGCAATAATTCGGTTTTCGAACGTCTGTGTGACAGGTACAAGGCAGGACTTGTCTGAACCAGATGTTGTTAAGATCAACTTCTTCCCATTGTGACCATAAAATGTTGGTTATCATCGATCTATACCGCTCTCTATTGCTGGATTCCATCAGACCAAACACCACACCAAGCTATTAATTTAAGTGAATGTAATGATTGTACATGAATACCTTGTGGATTTTCTTCGTACCAAAATCGACAATTTTGTTTATTTACCGCGCAACTCAGATGAAAATAAACCGGTTTGGAAAAGATGAATAATGACCAAAACGATACTTAGAAATCATATCATCCCTATTGGAAAATTCTTTATTTATTGGCTTATTTACGGAATACGATTTAAAGAGCACTTTGTCCGGTTTCGTCCATTCCCTGACGTAACAGCTTTAAACATCATGAAAAAGTGTGAAAAGCTTGAAGCTATTAGGCTGTTAAACTTTAATGAAATTCGTATCATTAACCGAAGATAAATCGTGGGCTTAAAAACGATGCTCTCACAAGCCTCAAGTCAACATAACCGTGTGCGAATTCAAAAACCGATATGCATAGTTATCTCTATCATTCATGATCATTTTGAACATGCCGCTTCTTAGCCACATACCTAATGCGTTAAATTAGATTTGACTCAATGGATGGTGCCGTCCAGCCCCTCTTATATTGTAAGCGATTTCTATATATGTTATATACCATAAGACAGAAAATTCCTTCTACTTCCAAAATATTTATAGAGAGCCTCTTGAAGTCTCATGACATTTGATTCCATCAGCAAAGTAAGACAAAAATAAGCAACTATTTTCAGAATTTATTACCATTTGTATTGACCAAACCGTGACCAATTACACATAAATCGCCTTTTCAGACACTATTGCTTACAAATTTATCCGAGTTTTTTTTTTTATATTCGTCATAAATTATCCGTGAAAAGCATTAAACTCGAAGGGCGAAGTGAAAAAGTGCGCCACCAACTAACAGTCGCCTGCCTTTGATCTTCAGGGAAGACGTCGTTAAGCGAGGCTTAGCGGCTTAGAGGCTCTTCGAATATCTCCCAAGTTAATGTCAGGTTTGAGTGTTGTAACAAAGCATCTGCACAGCAAACGACAAATGTTCAATCTTTCCAAAGCGGAGCTTAGTTGTAGAAATTGACACATAAACCAGCCCCCGCGTTAATAAAAACTAAAAATAAAATTTTATCAAAATACGCTCTAATAAAATTTAAGTTTTTTTCTGCTTTTTGTGGTTTTGGTATGCGCCATTATGGAAATGATTATATATGTATGTATATATGTATTATATTATGTTTTATTGTTGTTTTATCATGCAAGAAATACCAACGCAGTCATAAAAATGCAAATAAGTTTAAATAAAATGCATGGGCACGGACGTCAGTGTACCGCGAGACGAGACAAGACGAGATGAGACGAGACGAGACGAGCTTGGTAGTGATGGCTGTGTGTGTGTGTGTGTGTATGCAAGTTTTGGCCACGAGCCTAAAACGTATGTATGTCTATACACAGCGTGGCAGCATAGTTTCTTAGCATTTTGCATAAAAACAATAGCATCAAATTAAATAAATAAAATATTGTACTTATCATTTTTCATTATTTTTTTGTATTAGCTAAAGCGATCAAATAAAGTTTCTTGCAGTTGCTAGCCTAAGAAAAGCATTTAAAATATTAGATTCATAATTTTCTTTACTCTAGATGGCCTCAGCAACGAATTTTTAATATACAGATTTCAAAAATTTAAGTCCAAAATTCCGTCTATGGTAACATCACGTCACTAAAAACCTCTAGATTCCCTGATTTTAAGACGAGCGACCACGGTAGCCAAGTGGTTAGCATGACCTAGTGTCATTTGGAAGGTCTGGGTTGAAATCCTGGTATCGTACTAATATCCAAAAGGTTGTAATTGTCAATTATCCAATTTTAATGTCAACCCCTCCGAGTGTGTTTCTTACATGAAATAAAGCTCCTCATAAAAAACCATCAGCCGTTCAGAGGCGGCTTAGTATAAACTGTGGGTTCCTCCATTTGTTGGAAAAATATCCATGCGCAATACCACAAATTGGAGGCCTCCTTCTCTTGCCGAAAATCGATTCAGCGGTTACAAAGCGCCAATTATATATGTATATACGATGAGCAAGCGACGGCTACTGCCATGCGGAAAGTCATGCGTTCGAACTCCGACAAGACCAATAACCAAGGTTATAGAAAATTACTTAAAAGCTAGCATTTTTTTCCATTGCGGTCAACCTCAATCCATTCCTATTTCGGACATGAATAGTTTTTATCCTTACCTTGCATGAGTTAGTAAACTCTGGTCCAAAGTATGCAAGTACCAAGAGGAGACAAAATAGACCGAGATGATCAGAGTGACGA